AAGGAGAGTGCATTTAGAACTACCTAGCTAAAGTAGTAATGGAATTGATTTTCTAGGTGTTTCATGTAAAAGGAGGCTGGGGATTTCAATTAAGCACAAGCACCCATTTTTTCATCATCTTACCATATAGTTCGTTCTTATAATGAAATAGAAGTAGAAGCAAATTTGGTAAAAAAATAATATGAGAAGCTTTAAATTTTTCATTTTATGGATTTTCTTCAAGATATAACATGTATTTGGTAAATACTTTGTATATTCTTTTCTGTTTGTAATGATTACATATGTTCACACTTTGAGCATTTAATGCCGTTTCCCTAATTCATCCTTTGAAGCCTTTTACTTTTAGTTCACTACTTCTTGCTAACATCAGAGCAGGTCACTAGCAGTTCTGAGTGGAGACTTCCTTTTTTGTAACTTTTTCTTTGTGTTTTTAAAGAATTTCTTATGTGTATTTGTCCCTTGCTTTCCATAACATTAAGTACAACATGTCTAAACTTTTTAGTAACAACAGTATATTTTAATAGATTAGAAACTGTATCATAGCCTCTCTGGACCTCAGTTTCCCTATCAATAAAATAAGGTGTCAGTTAGAGTAAATTATTTTCTAATTTCCTCTCAGCTTTAAAATCATATTTACAACAGAATTGTAAAATGTTCTAGATGTAAAAATAACTTTGTTTTTGCCATAAAAGGAAATTAGGTAGAATAGGTACCAGTATTTTATAGTGCTCCTAAGAAGGCCACCCAGCAAGTCATTTTCTATGGAAATGGAGTTACTCACCATTTCCCAAGGCCTTAGGAAAACTGAAAAATGGGGAGAAAGTCTTTTTTTAATTTTCATTTCATCCACCCTCTCTCATTATAACATACCATCCCTTCGTCCCCCAACCCTCTTCTACTTTAACTTCTCCAGGCATTCCTATTTACCTTCATACTGGCTACCTGTTAAACATCCTTATCAACTGGATATGGATTTACTAAATTTATTAATGCTATCACTGAGTTAACTAAATTGATTATTTCAGGTCATGTAAATATAGGTGCAAACATTAACAGGATATAGTTTGATTTTTTTTTCTATATAGAGTATGAAAAGTGGCATTACTCCTTAAGTTATCCATTACACAAATTTGATGTGTGATTTCTGTTATTATATTAATTGGTAAATTAAACTAACAAAATAACAATTATAACAACTGTGAACAGTAGGGAGCTATTAAAAAAACCACCAATTCAGAGTATCAATTGTACATATTAATTTATATTTTATAAAAAGCATTAGTATTTAAGGTTTTGTTGCTAAGGATTTTTTTTGGTGTGTTTTCTTTTTATAAGAAAATTTCCTAATTTACACTCCTTAGCATAAGGAGTTTAAAAGTTAAATAAAAAGATAACTTTTGTGTGGAACAATCATAAAGCACATATGATAGTGATATATTATCTAAATATACCACTTAAAGCACATATGATAGTGGTATATTATCTAAATATACATCTGCCAATGTTTATTTTGTTACTTTGTATTTATTACCAAAAATTATATTCGACTTAGATACCCCTCTCAATCATGCTGGAGATCTTCATCTGCTTAATTCACAGTGAGGTGGTGATTCTATTTACAATTTCACATCTGTTACTACAGTAAAGTTAACAGTTTAAGTGCCATGAAACCTATTTAAGATTTCCTACCATTCTCTTCTTGCCAAATGTTAGAAAATTTGTAGCTTTTTGATTATTTAGACTCCTAGAACTCAAGAAATTTTGGTACATGCCATGTTATCAAAGGGAATTTGCTTTTTTTCATATATCTTTTTCATTCACTGGAGATCCGCACAAAGAATGTATATGACAACTTGTTGCCAAGACTCAAGCCATTTCTTTGAAAACATTGAGCCAAACTCTGCCAAATAAGTTGAGTTCTTCTGGCTGTTTGGTGGTCAGCCTTTCTGTTTAGTGGCCAACTTGTCACCTATAGCATGCCTAATGCAACCGACTGTGTAGTAGTCTATACTGTGGCCAGAATTCCTAACTGGGAAATAGCCATATGAGCTGTTCCTTAAGAGCCTATAATAAGTGAAATGTATAGTCTATTAATGCAGTTGATGTAAAACTAGTTAAGTTTGAGTATTTGGAAATAACACAAACCTAACACATTTTGTTCAGTTCCTGGGTAGCAAGGTTTCCTGCTGCGGTTCTCAGAATAATTGCCTGACTCTCTCTTACACTTGACCTCTGTCCATACAGAAATACTTTTATTTGAATTAGGAATAATTTTCTGTCACAGAGAAAAGTTTACTCCATTGTACAAAGCAGTTTCTCAAGATATGAAAATGAAAAATAATAATAATTTAAAAATGAAGCCACTACTAAGAAAAATAAATGATTAGCACTTGAAATTTTTTTTTACCTAGTCTAATATTCAATATAAAACTGTCTTTCAAATACTAGAAGTATCTCTGAATCATTAATGGGGAATTTTTATTTGAGCATATGATTTGTTTTAGTTTTATAACTTTAAATGAAAAATAGTTTTTAGAAGCATGTATTAGTAGTTCATTTTTGCTTATACATTGTAAAAATTGTCAGTTTTCAAAGTACCTGGAAATGTCAGAATTTTTCAAGAGATTATGATGGTAACAAGTTAAATTTTATTTGATGACTATGTTATGGTACAAACTACCAGTTTTCAGATTTGGTCAAAATACTATTCTTCTTTTACTTACTGTTTCATTTATTAGATCAATGGAGTCCATTTGTCTACAAGTTATATGTAAAAGCATTTCCT